ATAACCACAAACAAAGTTAACAAACCTACTTATGAAAATTAAGAAGAAAAACATAAAGTCTCACTAAAAAAAAAAAAACCTAATAAAAAAAATCCACAAAAAAAAAAGGAACTCAACACAGGAGAGTAAGAGGAAAAAGAAAACGTCAGCACTACAAAACAGCACTACAAAATGACAGCAATAAACTCACACCTATCAATAATTACACTGAACATAAATGACCTAAATGCACCAATAAAGAGACAGAGAGTGACAGAAAGGATAAAAAAACAGGATCCATCAATATGCTGTCTACAAGAAACAAATCTTAGAAACAGAGATGTCAATTTATTAAAAACCAAGGATGGAAAAAATATATCAAGCAGTCACCAAAAAAGAGCAAGAGTGAAAATACTAATCTCAGATAAAATAGACTTTAAAACAAAATCCACCATAAAAGACAAAGAAGGACACTGTATAATGATTAAGGGGACCATCCATCATGAAGACATAACCATAATAAACATCTACCCACCCAATGACAGGGTTCCCAAATATAGAAAACAAACTCTAACAGCACTGAAAAGAGAAATTGACAGTTCCACAATAATAGCAGGACACTTCAACACACCACTCTCTGTAAAGGACAGAACATCTAGGAAACATACTCAACAAAGATACAGAAGACCTAAAGGGCACAATCAGCCAACTTGACTGCTAAGACATACATAGAACACTCCATCCAACAGCTGCAAGGTACACACTCTTTTCCAATGCACATGGAACCTTCTCCAGAATAGACCAAGTGTTAGGCCACACAGCAACCCTCAATAAGATCCAAAAAGTTGAGATAATAGAAAATATCTTCTCTGACCACAATGCCATCAAGATAAAAATTAACAACAGGAAGAGCAAGGAAAAAAATCAATTACATGGAAACTCAGTAACACCCTGCTTACAAACCACTGGGTAATGGAAGAGATGGAATCAAAAAATTTGTAGAATCAAATGAGAATGAAAACACATCACACATACCAAAAGCTTTGGGACACAGCAAAGGCAGTCCTCAGAGGACAATTTATAGCAATTTATGCACACATCAAAAAAGAAGAAAGGGACAAAATCAAAACATTAACCCCACAACTCAAACAAATTTAAAGACAATATAAAAAAAAAGTCCACAGCCACCAGAAGAAAGGAAATAATAAAAGAACAGAGCAGAAATACATGAAATAGCGAATAAAAAAAAAAAAAATAGGAAGAATCAACAAAACCAAAACTTGGTTCTTTGACAAGATCAACAAAATCGCCAAACCACCGGCCAGACTGACAAAAGAAAAACAGGAGAGGATGCAAATAATCCAAATAAGAAATGAAATAGGGGACATTACAACAGACCCAACTGAAATAAAAATGATCATAACAAAGTATTATGAAAAACTATACTCCAATAAATTTGAAAACCTAAAGGAAATGGATAAATTTCTAGCAACATACTACCTACCCAAACTAACACAAAGTGAGGTTGAAATTCTGAATAGACCCATAACAAGAGAAGAGATTGAAAAGCTAATTAAAAAACTCTCAACAAAAAAAGTCCTGGCCAAGATGGATTCATTGGAGACTTCTACCAAACATTCAGAGAAGAGCTTATTCCAGTACTACTCAAACCATTTCAGAACACAGAGACGAAATCAACACTTCCGAATTCATTCTATGAAGCCAGCATAAATCTGACACCAAAACCAGGCAAAGACGCCACAAAAAAAGAAAATTACAGATGAATATCTCTCATGGATATAGATGCAAAAATTCTCAACAAAATTCTAGCCAATAGAATTCAGCATCAAAGCAAAAAAATAATACACCACAACCAAGTAGGATTCATACCAGCTATGCAACAGTGGTTCAACATTAGAAAATCAATAAACATAATCTAACACATAAATAAAAGGAAAGAAAAGAATCATGTGATCATCTCAATTGACACAGAAAAGGCATTTGACAAATTCCAACACCCATTCTTGATAAAAACTCTCAATAAAACATGTATGGAAGGGAATTTTCTCAACATAATAAAGAGCATTTGTGCAAAACCAACAGCCAATATCATTCTAATGGAGAGAGGCTGAAAACATTCCCCTTGAGAA